AGAGAGGTAAGGGCACAAGGGGTCCACAGGCCTTCCTGGGGGGTGGGGTGGTGAACTGGCCTTTTTGTTGTTAACTATACAGGGTACCACCTGGGTACAGTTATTAAAAATGAAGACCTTACAAATAAGGCTAAAATCCTAACTGATCCCATCACTGCTCCCACTTCCTCTTTGGAGGCAACCATTGTTCTCAGTGTGAGGGAACCCTTTTCAGCACTGCCTACTTACGAAAGGCTGCAGGCTCCCCCGCCTCTGCCTGCCTAGCTTCTCCCAGGCAGAAAGGAGCCTGGCCCTACTGATGTCAGAATATGAATTTGTACCTGCCTGGGTACTGAGAGGGACTGCTGGTTCCCTGCAGTTGATGGAGGTCACTGTTCGAAGAGAGCTCCCCCTGCCACCCCAGGATAGTTGTGGTTCTAGGCCTGTGTTCGGGGATTCATAAATGTGGGGAAGTGTGATTTGAACTCGGTTCAGTGTGTTTTTCCCTAGAAAGTGGAGTATCATTTGAATTTTTGGTGGTTCCAATTTCTTCACTGTCTTTCATTAGAATTTTAGAAACATTTTCTCTTCCTTTCAGGGGTATATTCAGTGGGAAGCAGCTACACCTTTTAGCTTCAAGTTTCTTTGCCTAACAAACATCTACATCAGTGAAAAGGGCTCCCTGTTTCGAGTGAACTTTTGTGAAATGAGTGATATCACCCACTTTCTCTTGGGTAACCTTGACTCAGTACCTAGGAGGTCACCCTGCTATTTTTGGCCTTGCAGCTTATAAACCTGCAAGGGTTTGAGGGCCCTCCCTGTCATGTGACGGTATTATGATCTGGGAAAGGACCTGGGTCTGGAAATCAGGAGTTCTGGGGTCCTGAATGAAGAGTCACATTCTCTCTGTGCCTCTGTTTTCATTTCTTATGAGAGAGGAACAGTAAATCCTGTTCACAAGTCCATGGTACAGTGGAATTATAATGAAAGGAAATCTAGAGAGCAGAGTTCTTTACACTTTCCAGCACTTCTGTTCTTGATATTTGAACTGTTGAGGGGAGGCTGTGCCTTTGTTTTATTTGAACAAAAAGCATCACCCCAAGTGCTATTAGTCAGTCTAATACCCGGAATTGAAAGTGACCAGATTGAGGGGCAGCCTTTCTGGGCTTCAACCTTAGGAGCCACACGCATAACTATTACCATCACTTCCATGGCCCTTTGTAGATGGGGCAGATCGGGACCCCTCTTATTCAGACTGTGCTTGTGAAAACTCAGCCAGCCTAGGACCCCTTGGGACCCACTGTCACAACCATTGGGATAAGGGGTGTGGGCCTCTGTCTTGCATGTCTATTCATAGTCGTCATCAAAGGTATCAGGAGGCACCATCAAGTGGTGGCCTTTGGGTCAGAAATGACCTGGAGCAAGGGACTTAAATCTCCTGGAGCCCTTTTCCTCGTCCTAGAACATGGGGATAATGATGCCTCTGCCTTAGGTTATTTGTGTGATCAGGCACATACAGCAGGGAGCACAGTGTGGTGCAGGCTAACAATTTAAAATGGTATATTAAAAACAGTGATTCTTACAGCTGGTTGGGGAGACTGGGCCAGAATTCAGGTTTCTGGACTCTGGGTTCCACTGCTCATTCTCCTCCATCACAGGCTTGTTTTCTGATCCCCAGGTGATGATCCTCATCACAGGTGCTCACAAGGCATTTGCTCTGTACAAGGCCATCGAGGAGGGGGTGAGCCACATGTGGACCGTATCTGCCTTCCAGCAGCATCCCCGCACGGTGTTTGTGTGTGATGAGGATGCCACCCTAGAGCTGAAAGTGAAAACTGTCAAGTATTTCAAAGGTGAGGGGAGGGCTGGGGCTGGGAGTTGGTGGCCAAGTTTAGGGTGTGCCAGGTGTGAGGAGTGGATCTAGTTTTCTTGCTCTGGCCACTTTCATAGACAACTCTGATTTTAACAAAAATGAAACCTTAGGATCTCAGAATACAGTCAATGCTCTTCCATCCATGACTGCAAGGGTCTGTTTCTGGAAGCCTCTTTGTTCTGAGGAGGCAAAAAACCCAGTGAAATGAAAAGTTGTCGTCCAAGGGCAACGTGGTGATCTCTTGGCAATGATATTGAGCCTCAGGGTGTTTTAATCTTTCAAGGTCTTCTGCAGGCCTTCCCCTCTAGGTAGGCCACCTAAGAAGGAGGATCTTTTTCTCTTCCACTTTAAAAAGGACACACTGCTTTAAACAAACTTATGTGAAAACCCTCATCTACTAAGCAGGCATAATGGGAATTTATTCTTTGGTTAAAAGATTAACCTTTGAGACTGCGTGCCGTCATAGCGGTCACGTCACGCTCTGTACCGCTCCCCACCGTTGCCCTGTAGCAGCAGCCGCAGCCCCCGATGCCAGCCCCAGGGGCCTCCTGTACCCAGGTCCAGGTCCCGGCTCCACCGCCGCTGTCCAGTCAGTTCGCTGCTACTCCCAGGGGGTCGCATGAAACAGATGGGGAGTTTGATGCTCACCGGGTGACATACTTCAACAAGCCAGATATTGACGCCTGGGAATTGTGTAAAGGGATGAACACGCTTGTTGGCTATACTCTGGTTCCAGAACCTAAAATCATTGATGCTGCTTTGCGGGCATACAGATGGTTAAATGATTTTGCTGGTGCAGTTCACATCCTAGAGGTTGTTAAGGACAAAGCAGGACCTCATAAGGAAATCTACCCCTATGTCATCCAGGAACTTAGACCAACTTTAAATGAACTGGGAATCTCCACTCCAGGGGAACTGGGCCTTGACAAAGTGTAAACCCCATGGATGGCTTCTCAAGGATTTATTCATAATGCTACTTGATTATAAAGTCACCTGGAATTACTGATGATAACGTATTACCTTATTTGAACAAGTTTTCCTTTATTGAGTACCAAACCATGTAATGGTAACTTGGACTTTAATAAAGGGGAAATGAGTTTGAACTGAAAAAAAAAAAAAAAAAAAAAGAAGATTAACCTTTGAATGGCCAACACCCCCAGAGACTGGATTTAAAAGTCCTGTGGATTCTAGCATTCTTTGGAAATAACAAGTTCTGTTCCTACTCTAGGGTTTTTGTCATTTGGAGCCACAGAAAAAAGATAATTTTCAGGAAGAGGAAAAATTTGAGAGCTCTTGGATATGACTGTTCATAATGGTGGAACTTGGCTTCTACCTGCCTTAACTGCTTTTCGTTTTTAACTTTTCACAGGCTTAATGCTTGTTCATAACAAGTTGGTGGACCCCTTGTACAGCATCAAAGAGAAAGAAACAGAGAACAACCAGTCTCCTGAGAAACCGTATGGTGATTAGCCTGCGCTCACCCTAGCATCAAGGACGTCCTCAGGACAGGCGAGGCATTTCTGGTGATTGCCTTTAGGAGGACACAGTTGTATTTCTCTCACCCAGTATGGTTACTCCAGACAAACGGGCATACAAATTGTTCTTGGCCCTGCAGCATGGAGCCTAGTCGTCAGAGTTTAGGGACAGGGAGAATGACTTGTTTTCTAACTTAATCAGAAAAAAAAGTCTCTGAAAAATGTACTCCATAATTTTTGATGTCTGCCCTACAGAAATTAGGGTTTTTAGCTTTGGTTCTCCCTCTGGCACTGTTCTCACATACAGCACACTCCCAACAGGAATTTCTATCATTTGTATACTGATTCTCAATTTGGGGGGGTGGTGGGAAAGGGACCTGTGTATATGGGCCAGACTTCTCTGGAGAGGCTCTGAAAGCCCCTCTTGAGCAGGTCTGCTATTTGAGGATCACTACTCCAGATGAAGGAACAAATTCTCAACCTTATGTTCAGTTCCAAGTGCCGTGGCAAGAAAGAAAAGGATTTCTTTCTTTCCCTTCTTGTTTTTCTCTGCTCTCACAGTTGGCCTTTCCGTGAACTCGGAGGATTCCTTGGGGGAGAATCTGGGTGGCCCGGGCTAAAGAGAAGGCTTTTGCTGATAAACTCAGAGCCTCAAGGGGCATGGCCACGTCACACTCCCTTCCCTCGGGGACCCTCCAGCACGGAAGGAAGGCGGAAACCCTCTTCCCAGCAGAGCCCATGTTTCTGTTCGAAGGTCTCCGTGGGCACCATGTCAGTGTGCCCAGCTAAGGAGATGGGGGCCAGGGCAAGCAGCTCGCTTCGGCCTAAGTTTAGTCACAACACAAGTGACATGTTCTCCTGCTTCCCTGAGAGCTGAGTGCCAAGACAACATACCAAATGCTTCTAAAGGCGCCTAATAATAGCCTTTCCTCACTTAAAATACCTTGCCCTTTCAGCCCTCTCAGGTTCCTGTGGCGTGTTCTCATGTTCCCAGAACACCAGGAAGCACAACAGTTTTGCCCCTTTATCCTTCACCCCGTGTTCACAAAATGAGTTCATTGCTCTGCCTTTCGACTCTCTTAAGGCTTCGTGGAGTGGATGCTGCCTTCCCCTCCCTATCTCTGTGCCTGTTTGAAGCTGCTGCTTCCTCTTTTTCTGGGAAAGATCTTTCAGAGACCAGCTCAGGCCTCTCCTTGAGTGCTGTGTTTGGTACCTGGTGTTCTGTCTTTAGCTTTTATACGTGATCGTGCTGTCATTCTGTCTTAGGCTAGTGGATCGATGGGCTTATTTACAATGTGATATTTTCTATTAAATCTGATATTTTCAAATAAAACGTGTCTTTATGGGTTTGCGCCCCCAGGGGTCAGAGGGTGGTCTGCGTTGATACTTATGTATTTTGGCAATGGCTGGTGAGCAAGGCTTCACATTCACTCCTCACAGCAGTTCCGTAGGAAGGTGCAGTCACAGCAACTGCTCACCCTCTTCCGTCACCAGAGGGAAAATAAAGTCATTCATAGACATGAAGCACCTGTGTAAAATGGCAGGTAGGAACAGATGAGCAATGAATTGTCATGTTCTGGCTATGCCTGGGATCCAAACAAGGATACGGCTTCCAAAGAGAATAAGGAGATTTGTGACCAAGGGGGATATAAACATTGCAAGGTATGAAAAAATAGGTTTGGATGGTTTTTTTTAGTTACAAAAGTAAACATAATGGAACATCTTGGGTCAATATAACCAGTTGAGGTACAAGTGGAAGTTGGCAGAAGGGTTTAAATTTTTATCACTTGTATTGAGATAAAATTTACGTGCCTGTAAAAGTCATCTATTTTAAATTCAATGATTTTTTATTAAGTCTACCAAGTTGTGCAATTCCCTGCCACATCCATTTCTGTCATCCCCGAAAGCTCCCTGTTCTTACCCCAGCCCATGTGACCACTGATCTGCTTCATCTCCACAATCTACCTTTTCTAGATATCTCCTAACAGTGGAATCCTACAGCATGGCATCTTGTGGGTCTGGTTTCTTTTGTGAAGCATAATGTTTTTGAGGTTAATCCATTCAACATGTATCAGTATTCCCTTTTTATTGCAAAACAGTATTCCACCGTATGGATATACCACATTTTGTTGATCTGATAAAGAAGGGATTACATTTTAAGTGGGTATGTTAAGAAAAAATTCTATTAGAGTGAAAAAAAGAATTTAGTCACGACAACTAAACTGGAGATGCCTGAATGAACTCGGGACCTTAAAAAGATCCCTTTCTGAGGCCCATGTTTCCCTGGTGGCCCAAGAGCAGTGTCATCCTGCTACAACCAGTTCTTCTGCAGGTCAAGTGGGATGTATGCTCTTGGGCCAGAGGCCTCCTTGGAAAAGAGCTAATTACGTTTGGGGGCGGGGATCACAGCAGGCCTGGAATATCTTGTTGCCAAAAGTAAGGGTGCTTTCAAAAAGGTTTGAGGCAGTAATGAAAAGACAAGGCAGCCAGTTTAATGGAGCTCTGAATGGCCAGGTTGTGACAATCTAATCAGTAAGTATTAAATACAGCTAGGTAAAACAAGTTCAATCTGTAAAACCCTAAGTCTGATACTCAAAGAGAAAAAAGGTAGTATTAAGTATAAATGGTACTGCATTTCAGGAAGAAAGGATTGAATGCGTTCAAGGTTTTATTGCATTTAGTAAAAAGTGGCAGCCTGTTGACATAAATGGGTATCACGTCTTGTATTAAATCTGTTTATAAAGTAGAGATGGATACAAAAGCCAGGCCCACTATTTCCCTGATACATCTATGGCTTACTTCCTTACTTCCTTCAGGTCTCTGCTCAAATGTCATTTATCGGAGATCATCCCTTATCCTCCAATATAAAATAGCAATCCACACTCCCTATTCCCCCTTTTCGTGCTCTTTCAGTGCCTGATGTGTATTTTGTTTCCCAGTAAAATGTAAGCTTCCTGAAGGCAGGCCAAATACTGTTCTAACCCATCTCTATCAGTGCTTTGATATCTAGAAGGTGTCTGTTTTCGGTTGAACTATAAGCCTGATAGTACCTCCCAAGAGTAAGGACCATAACGACAACCCGGGGGAAATAAGAGCATATTATATGATAATAGATTAGCCAATTGGCCTACTAAGGAGATCTAACTTTGTAAACTTGATTCCTCATTCACGAGAACCCAAATCCTTACTGTGAGGAGATGCTAGTGAAACATGCATACGTTTCCAATAAAATACATTTTAACAAAATACAGAATTATTCAAGAATGATAAATAAAACAGAACATAATAATTCAGGCTTCAAGGGAGCCTTAACACCAGCTGGCAACCACACGATATTCCCCTAGTCTGTTCGGTCTCCTCTAATTTATAAGGCCTCAAGCCTCCAACCACTCTTCCTCTAGCCTCTCAGCTGTGACCTTGAAAATCAAAGTAATCAAGACAACGTCCATAAGCTCCACCATCACGGGCACCCACCTGCCAGCCCTGCTCTCATGGTTTCCCTTCTTCCTGTTATTCGCTGCTTGTCCAGTCCCTCCACTTGTGCACTAGATCCTTCTCTTGCCTCCTTGAGGGCATCGTTCCAGCAAGATTCTCGCTCACCTGCAGCATCAAACTGTCCTGCTTTCCTGGGTCACTCCTATCAGCATACAAAACAAGCTTTAAAAACAAAACTCTTGGGGCGCCTGGGTGGCGCAGTCGGTTAAGCGTCCGACTTCAGCCAGGTCACCATCTCGCGGTCTGTGAGTTCAAGCCCCGCATCGGGCTCTGGGCTGATGGCTCAGAGCCTGGAGCCTGTTTCCGATTCTGTGTCTCCCTCTCTCTCTGCCCCTCCCCCGTTCATGCTCTGTCTCTCTCTGTCCCAAAAATAAACAAACGTTGAAAAAAAAAACAAAAAACAAAACAAAACAAAACTCTTCACCAGGTTTGCCCCATCCTGGAGTCACCTGTACTCTAGCTCTCTCCTCCCTCCCTCTCTTCCAGCATTACCACCATGTATACCTTATACCTCTGTAACTGTCTCACAGTTCTGGGATATTCCGTCCCTTTAAAAAATTATTCTTTTTCTTCAAATTTCTGCTTGGAACATTTCTCGTGACATACTTGCAAGTTCACGGATTCTTTCCTTAGCTGTTTTAAGTCTATGGATGGACCCCTCAAAGGCATTAATTTCCGTTGTTTTTGTTCATAGCATTTCTTCTTGATTCTTAGTTTCCATATTTTGCATACATGACTCACCTGTTCTTGTATGTTGTCCACTTTTTCCATCAGAGACCTCAGTATATTAACCATAGTTACTTTAAATTCCCAGTCTGATAACTCTAGAATCTCTGCCGTATCAGTCTGGTTCTGGTGTCTGTTTGGTCTCATCAGATTTTTTTTCCTGCTTCTGAGCATCCTTGTATATTTTTTATTGGAAGTTTGACATGATATATATTGGGTAATAGGAACTGAGGTGAATAGGCCTTTAGTGTGAGGTGTTATGTTTATCTGGCTTACAGCTAGGCTGTGTTCGATGCCTGCTGCAGGTGTCAGAGGTTTTGATTTCCTTCAGTGTCCATGTTTTCAGTCTTCCCTTTCTGGTTTTCCCTAGAAATTCCTTCTTGAAATAGAGTCGGTGTGTTGCAGCTTCTTCAAAAGCTGTAATCCACTATAGTAATACTGGAGTCCTACTGATGGTATGGGACTAGGGAGAATTCTTCTGTATCTTATGAGTAAATCTATTTTGTCTTTTTTATGAGCCAGAGTCCTGGGCTGAGAACTTTAGAAGTTTCTTAGCCTTTTTTTTTTTTTTCCTTATGTGAGAAAGGAAGGAAGGGGCTTACGCTATCCAACAGCCCTTCCCCAAGGTCAGAGAAGACAGGTAGTTTTCCCTGAGGGCAGTCTTCTGCCAAGTTAACAGAAAGCTCTGGGTGTATTTTGAAATGGCTACTACCCCCCAGCCCCCTTACAAGAGGAGAATTTTCTGCCATCTTCACAATGAGAACCTGGGGAAGCTCCTGGAGGTAAAACCCACCAAAGTGTGGGCAACCCCTTAGAGTAACTCCCAGGAGTTTTAAACTCTCAAGCTAGCCCACACTCAGCCCCCAGCAATTCACTTCAACCCTGATTACTGGCTCTAGCTTCTCCTTTAGGTGAAGTGATCTGTATTTTCTGCATATTTTTTCTCTAGTTTTTGTGGTGGCTTGCTCTGTGACCTCTATTCTTTGATGGGTCAAAGAGAAGCTGATTTTCAGTGTGCTCAGCATTTTTTCTTGTTGTGAGGCTACCCCATGTCTTCTCAAACACACTCCAGATTTCCCCCTCCCTTCCAGTGAAACACCACTTGTCAAAGTCACCAATGACTACGTAGATCGCTAATTCAATGCTCAGAGCTCCTGTTACTTGACCTATTTGCAGTATGTGACAGCTGACCACTGCTTCCTTCAAACTTCACATGGCTTCCAGGATATCACAGTCTGCTGATTTCCCCTGAGTAGCCACTGTCTACTCTGATGGGTCCTCCACATTGCCCTGAACTCTTGGCATCTGGAGTGCTCCAAGACTTAGCCTTTGGACTTCTTCTCCCCATGTAACTCACTCTCTTGGTAATTTCATCCAGTCCCGTGGCTTCACATACCATCTATACACAGACTCCCATATTTCCATCTTCAGCCAGAGACTCTCCCTTGAACTCCAGACTAGAATACCCAACTGCCTACCCAACATCTCCATTGAATTAACTGCCAGGTGTCTCAAACTCATCTGTCCAAAACTAAGTTCCTCATCTTCACCAGAAAATCTCTGCCACCTAGTTTTCCCCTTGTCAACCCGAGACAAAAAAAGCTAGGAATCAATTCTGACGCCTCACTTTCTCATATTATATATCCAATCTATCGGTGAATCCTTGAAGTTTTACCTTTAAGGTAAGTACACAATGCGACCACTTAAGAAGATTCCAACTGCAGACATGCCGGTCCAAGCCACCTGCACTTGTCACCTGAGTGCTGCAATAGTCTCCCTTCTTTTTTTAAAAACATTTTCTTGGTACTTTTTTTAAGTTTATTTGAGAAAGAACAAGCAGAGTAGGAGTGGGGGGGGGTGTGGGGCAGGGAAGGGGTGGAGTGGGAGAGAGAGGGGGAGAGAGAGAGAGAGACAGTGAGAGAGAGAGAATGAATGAATCAATCCCAAGCAGGCTGTACACTGTCTGCGCAGAGCCTGATGCGGGGCTCGAACCCACAAACCGTGAGATCATGACCTGAGTTTAAATCAAGAGTCAGACGCTTAACCGACTAAGCCACCCAGGCACCCCACTGCAGTAGTCTCCTAACTGGTCTGTTTCTACCCTTGCTCACACACTCTCCTAAAACCTAAGACCCTCTCACACTTCTGCTCGAAGCCCTCCAAAGGCTCCCATCTCAGAGCAGAAGCCCAAGTTCAAGCAGTCAGCCTCTGCTATCCTAACTCTTCCTACTCTCTCTTCGGTTCCTACTGGCTCCCATGCTGTTCCTGGAGCACTCCAACATGCTTCTTACTCCAAGAGCCCTTGCCTCTGCTGCCCTCTCTATCCAGACTCTCTTCTCTTAGGTGCCCACATGGTACACTCCCACACTGCCAAGCCTTTGTCCCAGGGCTATCTTGATGATTAAGTCTTCTCCACTCTTTTAAAATTCCAACATCACTCTGCCTCCCCGATCTCCCTACTTCCTCAACCAACTTCACTTCTGATCAACCATATTAGTTCCTTAGTGTCTGTCTCCTTCTACCAGAATTTAAAGTTGCATAAGGGGAGAGATCTAGGTCTGTTTTATTCACTGCTACATTCTCAGCACCTAGGAAAACAGGAAGGCCCATCATAAGGTGTGCAATAAATACTTGGTAAGCAAGTGAATGAATACTAGGAACATAGTAGGCTGCAAGAAATGGAGTGGGAATGGGAATAAGACACGCATCATCATCTAAATTTCCATGCATTGACATTAATATTAGTTTAGTTTGTTGGTTCAGCGAAGGGGGGAAAAAGCCAAGCAAGGGAAAAAAGTAACTATGTTGACTTAGTATTTACAACTTTGGGATCAGAATCTCACTAAGTTTTCAGCGTGCACAGTCTTCTCCGAGGCATCCTGTGGCTCAGAGAAGTATGCGAATCCTTGGGAGTGGCAAATCTTTAGGCGACCTGAATCATTGTGCAAGGACTGGACTGTGAATGCTGCAAGTGGATAATTAGCATTAACCTTCATTAAGAACATCCTCAGAGCCAGCTCTCTGACCACAAAGGCCCAGCCTGGTTTGCTGGCTGATTTTTGCATTGAGTCAAAGTTCAGGGAGCAGACTATTTGGCTCTTCTTTCCAGTATCAGATGGTGCCGGTGTTATGACTTATCCATCACACTTAGGAGCTTCAGATATAACAGTCTGTTTACCAAGGGATGCACAAGTGACACTTTCTATGTAACAACTGGATGCCAACTATGGTTCAAGTATAGTTTTAAGTGGCCTCACAGTTTGGATAATACTGCTGCTCCTGCTTGCTGATGTTGTTAAGTTGCCATTCTACCTCCCTGTGTGGATAGTGGACTACAATCAAACACAATGAGGAAAATGAAAATCCCAGAAATAAGCCTGTTTCTGTTGCAAAATAAAATACTGCTTCTCTCTTAATCATGTACTGCATTTTTAGAACATGGAAACCGCTGCCACCTGCTGGCGATGCTTACGACAAAGTAATACTTGGTGGGCTCTCCAAAATTTCCTTCCAAAGCAGGCAGCCACATGGATTTATGATTATTCTATCTAATCAACTCTACTTTTCTCCTAACAACAGCAAAAAATGAATCTTAAGTACATTAAGGGATTTCTAAAGTAAATTAGAACCATCTACTCCAAAAATATAACCCCGCTGGGGCACGTGGCGGGCTCAGTCAGAAGAGTATGCGGCTCTTGATCTCGGGGTTGTGATTTCGAGCCCCCGTTGAGTGTAGAGATTACTTCAATAAATTTAAGAAACAAAATGACCTTGCTGACAATACTAGAGGACTGGGAGAGTGGCTGCCAAGTCTCTTCTCCGTTATCCATCTCCTTACTTGCTGGCTGCAGTATTTAGCTGAGACTGCAAGCTTGCCCTCTCAGGCCTGTGGGTCCAGATGACCCACAAGTCTCATCACCTTACCCAGTTTAGGGGTACCTGGCTGGCTCAGTCAGTAGAGCATGCGACTCAATCTTAGGAGTTTGAGTCTGAGGCCCACGTCAGGTATAGAAATTACTTAAAAATAAAATCTTAAAAAAAACCCAAAAAACAAAAAACTTACCCAGTTTCACGATTTCCTCAATAAGCTGATTTGGAAAATGACCATAACAGGTACATTGCCTAAAATTCCATACAAAGCCAGTGAAATGTCCTGAGAAATAATGGATTTAAAACTACAAAAAGACCTCAAACAAAATGTTCAATGATTTGCTGAGCCTGCTAGGATTAGGTCATCAGTCTTCAAGAAAAGGTTTTCAGGAGTACCAGGGTAGCTCAGTCAGTTGAGTGTCCAACTCTTGACTTAGGCTCATGTCATGATCTCACACTTGTGGGATCAAGCCCCGCGCTGGGCTCCTTGCTGGGCACAGAGCCTGCTTAGGATTCTCTCTTCCTCTCCCTCTGCCCCCCATCCTCTGCTCATGTGTACATGCAAAAAAAAAAAAAAAAAAAAAAGAAAAGAAAGAAAAAAAGAAAAAAGAAAAGGTTTCAGCTCATGACCAACCCAGGTACATCAAGATCTAATGGCTGTTTAAGTAATATTAACAAAAAAAATGGATGGGATCTTGACTGTGCCAGCCAAGAGAAGCCTAAGAAAGCGTGTTGACTAAATGTAATAGGAGGTATTCTAGATGGGATCTGCAAACAGCTCAAGGTCATTAGGAAAAAAACTAAAGAAATCTGAAACAAGTATGGACTCTTGTTACTAATAATCAATATTTGTTCATTATTGTGACAACTGTATCATACTAATGTAAGATGCTAGTAATAGGGGGAAGCCTGTGTGGAATACAACAGAACTCTGTACTATCTCTGCAATTTTTCTGTAAATCTGAAACTTATAAAAATGTTTACTTCAAAAGAGAATGGGACAAGATGCAATTCAATTGACAAAGTGGGCCCTTAAGTCTGTTCAATCACAACCTTAAAAAGTAACTAAACTTGTATTTTGACTTTGCAAGTTATTCTGTAGCTTATTTTCATTTATCTGTTCTAGACTCAAACCTTTTATTTAAATCAAGAGATGCAACCTCTTCAAACTACACTTTTGAACATGATGACCTGGCAGTCTGTACAGGGACCCTTTGCTCTCTCGTGCCCACCAAAAGGATACATGAGGTTCATGTCAATTTATGACAAATCTCGGCCCATTTGTAACAAAAGGCCTTCATGAAATTAAACTAGGTACAACACTCCTTATTCTATCATATAGTTTCTTGATATACCAACTTTCCACAAAGTCATGTATTTCACAGGGCATGTGTGGTTACCCCAATCTTTCATTTTACCCAGAGACAAAAGTACTCTACCCAAGGGGCGCCTCGGTGGCTCAGTAACAGTGTCCAACTCTTGATTTTGGCTCAGGTCACGGGATCGAGCCCTGCCATCACTCTGCGCTGACAGCACGGAGCCTGCTTGGGATTCTCCCTCTTTCTCTACCCCTTCCCCCCACTCACGCATGCACTCTCCCTCTCCAAATAAATAAAATTTTAAAAAGTACTCTATTGTGCTCGCTTTGGCAGCACGTATATTAAAAAAGTACTCCACCCAGAACTGTACCATCTTTTTTTTTTTTTAATTTTCCTTAATGTTTTTATTTATTTTTGAGAGGGAGACAGAGTGTGAGCAGGGGAGGGGCAGAGAGAGAGGGAGACCCAGAATCTGAAGCAGGCTCCAGGCTCTGGGCTGTCAGCACAGAGCCTAATGCGGGGCTCAAACTCGTGAACTGTGAGATCATGACCTGAGCTCAAGTCGGTCCCTTAACCGACTGAGCTACCCAGGCGCCCCAGGAGAACTGTACCATCTTAAAATTACCTCATAACACATGCTTCAAAAATAAGACTTTATAAGCCCTATTGTCTTTGTTATAATTGGATGGTGAAAATTTTGTACCTAAGGAAGAAAGGATGGAACATTCAGATGAACAAACAAGTCTAAGACTAACCACCTGTGTTTTTTAAAATCGTAAAGAGAAACCTCCCATTTCTTTTACAGAAGTGCATTATAAAGCTTTCTTTCCTACTTCCACTTTATCAACAACATAATGTGCAAAACCCTAAAATAAAATAGTCTCTAGCAAATACCAACTAGTCCATGAACTAAAGAACTTCTGAGTGGCTACTAGTGAAAACATCTCAACTGAATTCCCATTCCATCACAGAGCCACTCTTCTGAGGTATATGCTGTATAAGCGTTTTAATTTACATTTATTATATTCAACTTATTCTTTTTTTATTATTATTTTCAGCTTATTCTTTAAGAAATTAACTTTAGTTCTGGGGCACCTGGATGGCTCAGTCGGTTAAGTGTCTAACTCTTGATTTCAGCTCAGGTCATGATCTCACAGTCTCATGGGTTCGAGCCCCACATCAGGCTCCATGATGATGGTGCAGAGCCTGCTTGGGATTCTCTCTCTCCCCCTCTCTCTGCCCCTCTCAAAAATACACAAGTAAGCTTAAAAAAAAAAAAAAATATATATATATATATATACACATATATATATATGAAATTAACTTTAGTTCTTATATAAAATGTGCAAAACGAAAGCTCATGAACCATATGGTTGAAACAAAATATGGGCCCTAAAAACCTAAGTTCAGTCACGAGTCTGGGTAAAAGAACAGGTGCTATTCCATGACTTTTTTTCTGTTCACTCTAAGAATATGTGTTACATGCCATAAAGTTTTTAAAAAATGTGATCAGTTGCCTTGGAGACAGAACAGCAGCAACTCTGCTCTAATTATAAGACAATTTTTAAATTATTTTTATTTTTAAGATTAAGCAGCCTCATTGACAATCCAGAAACAGTCCTTGCTGACTCTGGATACACACACATAAAATGGTTAAAAGTGATTCCCCAATTTTCAGTGACAAGTTGGGAAAAAAGAACATGTTCACAGCTGCAGCTGTATCCCTCTGTCCTCTTTTTCAAAAAATCATTTTGCTACCAAGCCATTCACCAAACCACAAGGAAAGACAATTTTTCAAAAAGCCATCAAAATCCAGAAACAGGGATCTAGGAATCAAGCCAAAATTATCCCCCAAAATAGTGCTGTTGCAAAAAAGGGTAGGAAGCCAAATTTCCACAGCTCATTAGAGAAGACCTTTAAAAAGAATTCAGAAAATTGGGACTCGAACTACAATGGTGGGGAGTTCAAAATAGAGGTAATTTTTAAAAATGCAGCTTGTTCAGCTTGGGAATATATTAGGCTTTCTCCTATTCCAGCATAAATAAAAATATGAGCTGCTGGAGTTAATATTAAAACTGTCCTTACTAATGGAAGGTAGGGCATGAGTGAAGGGAGAGAGCGTAGAACAAAAGGTAGCAAAGACAAGTCATTTTGAATCTAGGCTCTACCGCCCAGAAGAGCTGAATAGGACTGAAATTTTTCTGAGCCAGTATCATTAAATTCTAGACTGGGCTCAAAACCAGTGAACTATACCCCACTAATAAATACCAGCTGGCCCACAGTGTTTTTGGCATTAAAAAGATTTTTTAAATTATCTATAAATTTCTATTCTGAAAAGCAGATCAAAATGACACTGGGTCGGGGCGCCTGGGTGGCGCAGTCGGTTAAGCGTCCGACTTCAGCCAGGTCACGATCTCGCGGTCCGTGAGTTCGAGCCCCGCGTCGGGCTCTGGGCTGATGGCTCAGAGCCTGGAGCCTGTTTCCGATTCTGTGTCTCCCTCTCTCTCTGCCCCTCCCCCGTTCATGCTCTGTCTCTCTCTGTCCCAAAAATAAATAAACGTTGAAAAAAAAAAAAATGACAGTGGGTCATCCAATCAGTTACTAAGTAAAAGGGCTTCCTCAAAGAAAAGTCACTTGGCAGAAACTTAGGGTGAAAGGAACATGACATGGAGTAAATGAGATCAGGCTCTTGGTACAATTTTAATAAGGCTTCTTTCTACCTACCCCAGTCATAAGGAGCAGTACTGAGGGGACTCCCCCTAATGTCTTAGAGGGATGCTTTCAGATAAAAAGGTCTCTAACTTTAACTCTTGACTCCTCTCTTCACCTAAAACTTGGGGAAGAAAATAAATATTTACTTTTTAACTATTTAGAGCTTCGCGCACACTGTAGTATTTAATATTCTCTAGTTTTCATTAACCTTTGGCTTATAATTTTCTCTATGTTACATTGAAAAACGTGTGCATGTGCCTTTATCAGTAGTACCACATGGAAATATAAACCTTGTTCTTCCACATCTTCTACAAAGGATGAGTGCATAAATGGTACCCTAAATAGCCTGCAAAACTATTTTGTGTACTTGACACAAGATTTGGGTAAACCATTCCATTTCCTTATCTTGAGCAGGAGTTAACTAATCTTCAATCTCATCTTCCCAAATATCTCCATTAACATCCACAGCATGGAACAACCTGGAAGTATAAAATAAGGTACATTTTTATGCACTTGGAAAAAATATAATCTCTTTCCTTCTCTCAAAATTACCTTCTGCACTCTTCTGATAACATCTTTGAACAGCTTTTCCTTTCTCTCAATCACTACACTGAGGAGGGCTGAGATACGGGTCCCTCTGAACAAGCTGTCTTAAAGTTTACAAGAATAGCCCTTTTCGGATCCAGACAAACTCTTTAAGGCCAAGGATTAACAATAATGGGAAATGGGTATCAAAAACCTGATACTCAATGTATACAGTAAATGGAATAAACCAGGATTAGGAAAGTCAGGCAATCCAGAAGAAGGTGAACTCTTCTAAACCACTGTAACTCTTATCACACATGAGTCACTCTACTCTGCCTCATCACCCTTGCATTCTCCACTGGTAGAATGCTTTATAGTTGCCAACTCGTTTTTCTTTCCAATGTTACCTAAAATTCATGTAATTTTCAACACTAGATTTACAATGGTTCACAGGGAGAACCTGTTTCTTCAACTTTTCTTACAGTTAGGTAACACCAATGATTTTAGGTACTATACATATGCCTCTTAAGAAAGATCATAAACTGACACTGAAATGAGAGCTGTTGAAAAACAGGATATTTTTATTGTGCCAAGAAATCACCCCAGATATTACTTACTAATCACACACACAAAAAAACCCAAAACCTTACATTTTTTAAAAATATATTTGAGAGAGCATAGCAGGGGCAGAGAGAGGCAAGATTCCCAAGCAGGCTCCACACCACCAGCGCAGAGCCCAATGTGGGGCTCCAACTCAGGAACCTCAGGAACTGTGAGATCATGACCTGAGCTGAAGTCAGACGCCTAACCCCTGAGCCACACAGGCACGCCAAGAAAACTTACAATGACGATGGAGCAAGCAACAGAACTGAGCAGCATACTAACAATGGGAGAGCCTGACATTACGGACGTAATGCGATATAAAATGAAGTACACAAGTATTCTTGTCAAAAATGTTAACTCTAAATATATTCAAACTCAGTCTAGACCTAACTTCCAATTTACAGGAAAGAGAGAGGACAGAGTAACTAAAAGACAACATGGAGAAAGAAAACTCTAGAAAGTAAGATGTTCTATAGGACAAGTGGCCTGGACTCTCTAAAATGTCACTGTTTTCCTCAATGCATCCAACAAAAAAGGGTGAGCAGGGCCACCTGGATGGCTTAATCGGTTAAGTGTCCAACTCTTAATTTTGGCTCAGGTCATGATCTTGAGGTTGGTGATTCTGAGCGCCGTGTCAGACTCTGCACTGACAGTGAGGACCCTGCTTGGGATTCCCTTATTCCCTTTCCTTCTCTTTCTGCCCCTCCCCTGCTCACGTGCACACTCTCTAAATAAATAAATCTTTAACTTTTTTTTTTTTTTTTTTTTTTAAGTGGAAGGGACCCCTGGGTAGCTCAGTTGGTTAAGCCTCCGACTTTGGCTCAGGTCATGATCTCACAGTTTGTGGGTTCCAGCTCCAAGTTGGGCTCTGTGCTGACAGCTCAGAACCTAGAGCCTGCTTCAGATTCTGTGTCTCCCTCCCTCTCTATCCCTCTCCCGCTTGTGTGTTCTCTCTCAAAAATAAATAAACTTAAAAAATAAAAAAGTGGGAAAAACTCTTCTGTATTAAGAGACTAGAAAGACAAAGCCAAATCAAATGTATGAATTTGATTATATTGTGGCTCAATAAAACACCTTTAAAAGATATTTTTAGGAGTCATTGGGAAGTTTTAAATATGTTTATTAGGAGATAATATGCCACCATCACTAAATTTCTTTAAGTACTATGTTATGTAGAAGAATTTTCTTATTTTAGGTGATAATGTGGAAGTGTTTAGAGATAAAGTATCCTATCTCCAACTTAGAGTCAAGTATTAGAAAATAAATACGGCAAAATACTATCAATTGTTCATTTTGGTAGAAGATATCCTATTAACCATAGTCTTTCAACTTTTCTTTATGTTTGAAATTTTTCACTGAGGAGGATAAAAAATAAAATTTCCCAGTGGCATATTTTCAACATAAACTCACAAGACAATATAGAAGTCCATATATGTGAGAAAATATATAAGAGAATTCTCTAAGAAAAATGGTCCAAAATCTGTTTCTGAGACTACAGGATTATGTATACGTACCGATTAAAACACGGGGAAGCAGGATCAGTGAAATGTTTATAAGGGTTTGCTCTAGAGAGAGAACCCATGCAAATCCAACAGAAATATTGCATACATCCAGTACATGTCATCTTGTTACATCCATCTAATTTCTGGTGGGAAAGATGGAAAGAGAAAAATACGAGGGCTATTAAAGCAAAAGAGGAAAGCACATGCCAAAAAGATTCAGTACAATGTCCTCCTCGACTTCTCCTTTTACCCCGTGCAGGGTTTAAATATGCAGGGAACATGCTGTAACTATTACACATTACAAGTAGAATAGAGAAAATATTCAGCACGTGTACCTACAACTAGATACTTAGCAAAACTTTTCTGATCAACAGGAGATACAAACCAAATGTGTATATTATACGTAGAACGTGTAGTTTAATCTAAGTAAACATTTGGTATCAAGTCCTCCCTCTAACATAGGGCTGAGGCACGTCTGAAGTGGTTCAACAGAATGCCAGTTTCCTTAGTGGAGTAACTGGAAAATCACCACCAGGTTCAGTTCAGATATAATGGATCAGAATGGGAGAACCAAATGCAAAGATAAATTCTGATTTTAAAACATTAAGATTGTGTCAAGAAGCAATACATTTAAATGTCTATTTTGGCTCAGGTTAATAGGAAAATGTCGTTTCCTAAGTGTGTACTTTGTACGCAGGTGTGTTAAATTCCAGGATAATTAGTTCTAAGAAGCCAGGCGTGAGTTTTTATATCATGGAGATGAGGTAAGAGTTGATTGTAGCTCTACTGTGGCTTCGTCATAACCCATTCCATTTTGATGTGAAAACACTATGAGAATAATTTTCACTTTGTGAAAGTATTTTGAAAGGGAAGTCTACATCCACTTAAGGTCAATATTTAGTAGTGAATTTGCATCTTCCAAGTAAGGTTGGATAAATATGTTTCCCTAGTCATAAATAATAGGCTTCTTCAGGCAATCGTAGCGAGCTTGCAAATCTGTCTGCCGAGTCTGTCCCGAACCTTTACCTCTATGGGAGTCCCACAACACGGGCAGCTCTTTGAGTTCTTTTCTAGCCATTCCTTACTTTCCATCTCTTCCAGCGCCTTCTGAATCACCCTCTTGCCATACCTCTGTTCCAAAAATCTTTTATTGGCCTCATCTGCTTGCAGGTACTCATTTCGTAAGTCTATTAATTTCTCTGGAAAGTGAAATGGAAAATTAACTTTTATACAACTTTGCAAAGCTGACTAAAAACCATTTAAAAATGGTCATAACCCTTTGATTATTCAATAATGTTATTACTGGGACTTTAATCATAAGGAAATAATCCAAAATGAAGTTATATGCACGGAGATGCATGTAACAATGGCAAACAAATTAAAGTCCAAGGGAATAACCACAAGTGAAAGGGCCAGTTAATGACATCATTTTTAATTATTAAAAACTTATAAATGAGGGGCGCCTGGGTGGCTCAGTCGGTTAAGCGGCCGACTTCAGCTCAGGTCATGAGCTCGCGTTCCATGAGTTCGAGCCCCGCGTCGGGCTCTGTGCTGACAGCTCAGAGCCTGGAGCCTGTTTCAGATTCTGTGTCTCCCTCTCTCTGACCCTCCCCCGTTCATCCTCTGTCTCTGTCTCAAAAATGAATAAACGTTAAAAAAAAATAAAAAAAAAACAACTTATAAATGAGATGGCTACAACTCAACTAAAATACTCATTACAGAATCCAGAAAAGGGCATATTTTAGGTTATAACTAGGTAAAAATGACACATGTTCAAATAACAAAGAACATAGAAGAATCCTCCAGCTAGAGAAGTTGGACTTGCTCAAGGTATTAGAATAAGAGCCATCTTTCTCGCTGACTTTGAGTTAATAATGTTGACGTTTGTGCAACCAGCGGCATACTGTTAAAGAATGACTTAGCTAAAAGACACAAAGGTTGAAACACACACTCATTTTCCATGAAGTCAGAATCATTCACCCTTTGATAATAAAAAGGCCTACCAAATAAACAAAAGTATCTTTGGCTTAAGAGCTAAGACTGTTCGATTCTGTATACAACAAAAGTCAACAAATAAAACTTGCCACCCACAGGTACTGCAAAGTCCCTCCTGTCAACGTTTCCCCTTGATATTCTTCTCTCTGGCTGCACAGCTCTACCACTTAACTCAAATGTAACAGGCAGCCAGTCCCAAAGGCTTTACTTGCAGACAAAGGCTTTTGTTCACATTCTATTACCTTAGTTTTTCAACATTTTCATTGAAAACCTCTCTCAATAACGTTATAATTATTTTATTAGTTTATTTTCCTCATACTCATTAGAGGTCTTTTTAAGTAGTGAATCTTTTGGGGAAGCTTTCTTTCTCTGTATCGTGCATTCCCATGGCTCCATCACCTCTACTTAGAAGCTGCAGACCTTTATCTTTTTATCCTGTCATTTTTATCCCTCTAAAAATTCAAAGCACTTTTGTGTTCCCAGATATCTTAAGAGCAAAGATTATTGCACTAAAGTTCTCAAAATAATTGTTAGTATTTTATGTATTTTATATAGTACTATCCAATAGATAGATATACAGGCATGAATAGATACAGAGATTCTTAATTTTGCTGAAGCCCCCAAGCCCCTTTGATTTCTTCCACAAATGTTATGAAACACCTGAAACACACCTCAGGTCCTCAACGATAAGGTTATACAAGTCTAAAGCAAAGGCTTCTATTATAATCTGGTGAAGTCTCCATCCCATCTGCCCATATCTACTATAAGACTCTGCTCTAGGCAAACTGCAAGTATTCACTCATTCTCCCCTTAGGGTTACTTTCCTGGAGATACTGACACTCTGCTTACGATAGCAATTAGGAACCACAGTAATAATGGCATTAATGGTTACCATTTTGCATTTTACACGTATTAGCTCGTCATTCCCAAACTATGTTGAAGAACCAGTATTTCCCCCACCACTCTGCCAAGGACCAGTATTTTCACAAAATACAATCAAATGAATTATTAGACAAATCATAAGACAAAAAAAACCTAAGCTTAAATTTTTATTAGATCGGACATAAAATTACTCTGTGAAATCACTGTAACTTCCTAGACCTCTCAATTTATTTATCTTGTCACGGACCAGTTTAACAACAATACCAACTTCGAGGAGCATTACAATAGTTTATTTTATCCTGACAATAGCCCTATGAATAGTAGCTATTATCATTATCCCTGTTAGTCTGAGAAAGACTAAGCTATCAAAGTCCAGTCAAACTGAGGTCAACGCCTGATTTCTCAATCCTTATTTAGATCAGAATTAGCAAACAGGTTCCACCTCCTGTGTCCACTTTAATAAATGGTGGCTTTCTGAAGCGCTATGTGTTGAGGAAGATTCTGAGACTTTCCTGGGCTCAGTGACAAAGAACTTGATGAGTGATCAGATATATGTGTCATGGAAACAAGAGTGGCAGCTAAGATGGTCTGCACTTGCCAATTAGGAGCTACATTACTCCACGTTCATAGATAGAAATGAACTTGCCATTCCTTCTCTGTAATGGTCCCCTGGTATCTGCATGGCCGTTTCCTTAGTTCCTTCTTCAAGTCTTTATTCAAACCGCTTTGCCAGAGAGGCCTTCCCCTGGTTTCCCTAATAAAACCTCAAGCCACTTCATATTCTGTTCCTGCTTTATTTTTTTTCCTCCATAGCACTTATAACCATCTAATATCTTTACTGTTCTGTTTGCCCACCCATTAAAATATAAGTTCCATGAGGGTATTTGGTCACTACGATATCCCCAGAGCCTAGGACAGTAACTGAAACAAAAATATCTGTTGAAGGAACACTTGCAAATGGAAGGATTGAAGTGATAAGGATTTTTTTTTGGCGGGGGGGCCGGGGGGGGGGCGGGGGGCGGGTGGCATAGAGGATAGGAGGACTGAGTTGACACAGTTAACACTTACCAGCAGTTACCTTACATGGAGAGACCCCGTGGTAAGTCAATCTGCACAAGGTACAGAAGGCAAAATTGCAACTAGAGCAGATGCCCATGGTGCAACCGGGCTCCTGCATCACAGGTAACTGGCAGCAGGGGCGGGGACAATACACCACATCTGCCATCAAGTCCAAGGTGGACTGGAGGAGAAGACGGTCATAGCGGGCAAATAACTCTGTTTCCACTAGCTCTTTGACCTGGAGGGAAAAATGAAACACACAAGTTTAATGATGCCCAAACGGTTCTGATTCTGGGGAGAATCAGCACCTTAAAATGCCGGTGCTAAGTTCACATGAATCAAAACACTCTATCTCATGTGACAAATCTAGACCTTGACTGAGGTGGTAGTTATATGGGTCTACACATGTGTGAAAGCTGAGCCAACGTACACTTTAAATGGGTACAGTGGGGGCGCCTGGGTGGCTCAGTCAGTTGGGCGTCTCACTTCGGCTCAGGTCATCATCTCACGGTGGTCTGTGAGTTCGAGCCTCACGTTGGGCTCTGTGCTGACAGCTCAGAACCTGGAGCCTGCTTCGGATTCTGTGTCTCCCTCTCTCTCTGCCCCTCCCCTGCTCAAGCTCTGTCTCTGTCTCTCTCAAAAGTGAATAAACATTAAAAAACAAAAAATGGGTATAGTGATGGCTTAACAAAGTTGATTTAAAAAAAAGAGTCAAGCCAAGTACCCTGTCCCTGATTGTTACCCATTCCAAGGATATGCTCTTCAGATCCAAACCTCACACAAAGGCAGGCTAGTGACTCTCCAGGGTTGATGGGATCCCAGCAGATAAACAAAGTAAATCACCAGAACACTTTATAATTATTTTTCTAACACTCATCTCTGCCAAGAACTGCCCATTCCAAGTCCAGCAAAGGAAGCATTTACACTGGCTTCAACAATAAGACCCCAGCATTCTTGATGGATACAGTGAAACTATTTGTGGGCTGGCTCCAAGGCCTCAGCCTGGCCTAATGAGCCCTAGCAAGGAAAATCCTGAGAAAACATCTCCCTTTGGGAAAGAGAAACGGGAGGCAGCTTTGAAGAGAGTAGAGGATTACCTGACCAGGAGTGGCCACCGAAGGACACTTGGGTTCTGGGCAGTTGAGGCACTGAACTTGGCCATCTCTGATCTGGATTTCAAAGTAGTCCTTTAGACAGGCTTTGCAGTACACGTGCCTGCACTCCAGGAAGTACATGCATTCGCTACCCAGCTTCTCACAGAAACAGATATTGCACAGGAACAATTTACTGTTAAAGCATTTAATCTGCTGAGCTTGATCGAAGTCCAAGATTTCCTGGATCAGACTGGACAGTGATTCCACATCCTGCACCGCTCGCTCATCCACAACTTCCTCTTGGTCAACATCGGATCCAGCAGCTCCTCCAAAAGCTAGGTCTGTGCTGGGGGAGGCTTGAGCCATCCTTCTCTGCACCTTTTTCTGAGAACCCATCTTGAGCTCAAAAGGAGAGACAATATTCAGGTATGCTAAGGTCTCTTCCTTAAGAAACTGCATCCAAGCGAACAGGACCACGCTGCCACGGTGTTCTTCCCACAGGTTGTCTAAGTGCTTGCAAAGAGCAGACAGCTAGGAGGAAACACACGAGGGTGCTGGTGAGTTTGGAAAGAGGAGGATACTGTCAACTCCTCATTTCTCTTGAAATCTTTTTAACCTCTAAGTTAGGCCCTTACAATTCCAAACATGTTTTTTGTTTGTTTTACTGCTGTGATAAACTGTGCTGGAAAGAGAGTAAGAATATTCTTATATTCTTAAACTATCCAACAATGTGAGTCACAGCAGAAAACAAAGTCAAAAACTAAAAGAAGTACCATGAAAACAAGAGACATGGCAAGGCTGTGAAGGGCACAGGTTTACATAGGGGCCACTAAGGTGGAGGAGTTTTCGATTCTTTATTTGTTCTTTGTTTTAGTGTTGCTACATATCTCATGTAGGAGAAAGAGAGCTAATTTTAAAATGAACTATTCCTATTCCTTTGGAGTCCTAGCCCTGTAGGTACCCTGCATAATAGAAAGAGGGCAGTTTAAAAATATCGTCCAAGTTTTTAATTCTAGCTTTCAGTCCTATCAAACAGCCAACTCAAGAGAAAGAGTCACTAACAGAATCCAACCTCAGAATCCTTGTTATTCAGATTTATAAGCTGGTTTTAACTAAGCAATCTGAGCTTACACCAGATCCTGGTTAATGAAGGGACACAGAATGCTATGGAACCTGGACGCGATTATAAGCCCTCAACATGATTCGGCTGCCATAGGGAAAGCTCACACTCTCTAAGCTGAGCAACCAAATTTAAACTACTTCGACTTTTCCTCTTTAAAGGTGGTGTGTTCAACTTGAAAGGCAAATGTAAGAGGATTTTCCATTAGAAATGTAAAATATTGGTAAGTAGAGCTCAGGAATTATAAGCAGCTTTTCTTTTTAGCTAAACACAAAAAAATAAGCCTTCCAGATGCAGACAAATTTTGTAAATTTAAATAACAAGTGAAAAAGGACCACATTTTCTGTTCCTCGCTCTGCACAGTGCCATTCACTAAACCCTATATAAGCACGAACTTAAACACTTCCTGAACTTAAAAACTTAGGATGTTAAATACTGTTCAAAATGCTTTTTCACATGTACATGAATATGCTTATAAGATCAATCATACTTTTGAGAAACCTGCTGAAATGTGTAAAATGTACTAAATACGAAAAGGGAAACTCTGAGTGCTATTTGGGCCACCAAGTCCAATGAAGAACCATTCTCAATCCTCTTTTTTTCTCTACCCCTTCTCAAAAGGGGCAGCTGGGGTACACATAAATGTAAAGAGGAAAGAATAAGAGAGAGACTGTGTATGTGTATGTATATAAATCGGGGGAGACATAATGGAAAATACTATGAGGTTAAACCCACTTCCCTTCTACCAACCCCAATCCAGTGACAGACAGGACCATGTGTCAACTTCACTATCAACAGGTGACATTCACAATGTCAAGGAAGCAGGGCCCAGCAACCAACAAGAATTGAACCAAGAAGGAATACAAGGCCAATTAAAAGATCAATTATATGCATAACAATTTATCTGACAGGGAATCCTACTGTTATTTCAGCTGTAACACATAAAATAACAAACAACCCTCCTCTCTCCACACTCCCAAAAGCCAGCAGTAAGGAGATGCTACTTGGCTGGAATCTGAAACCGCAGCCATGCACTCAGTTTATCTGTCCTTGTTTTGTGCTTGTGTGTAAGTGTGTGCACACAGGCATGGATACAAAGTATCAAAAGCTCTCTGGAGAAATGTGATTATAAATATCTAAATAATTCAGTCAGCTTTCAGTGATCTAAATGTCAAACAGCCTTGACATTCTTGGGCAAATAATCCACTGCCTTGCATGTATTGCCTCTGGCCCAGATATCAGAATGTAAGGTAATAATACTCCTTTCTATTCTACATGTATTATCCTTTTGTAAAATTTAATTTTGTTTTTAAAACATAAGCTCAATTTTACAAAAGCACTCAAAGATTAGACTAGTCAGTGGGGTGGAATAAAAACTCCATGATCAAACAGGAAAACCTGACAAGCTGTTCCTTGAGGTCAAGGAACTCTGACAGCTTTTGTCTTAATATACATCAGCCTATCAATCTTCATCACGACTTGTAGAAAAGTAGCTGCTATTGATCCATTATCTATCTCAGAGGACTTTATATTAGCTTCAAGTCATACTTATGTCTCAATCAAGAGTCGGGGTTATTACTTGAAAAGGATATATAAGCCGGAGGAAATGAAGGCTTCATAATACAAGGTTCGTAATATAAGGTCTCAAACCTTCGTGAAATAGAAGGTACAGGAAGAGATAGGAGACCTCTTCGTGACATAGGAGATACATACACATTTCTAGTTGTGTGTATTTACATCCATGTGAGACCAGTCAACAATTATTTGTTATTAACATACAGATCTCTAAAAATAAAAGCACTTATTCTGTTTACGTAGCTAATTTGTTTATTGTAACTACATCAGCACAACTTTAGCCCTCCTAATTACAGTTAAATCTTTGATTTAAGGAATGGATAAGAAACTAAGAAAAAAAAGGCATACCAACATCTAAGGAAAACGAGAAGGACCTTATAGTCTCTATTACAATACAGATTAGATGGGAAAAATAGCAAGAGAAGAAAAAATATATATACTTGATTAAAAATTACTCATACTGCAATTCACAATGATCAGTCATCCTAATTACTGCCGTTCCTTTCTAAAACACCACTTTCAATTCATTAACATTAGGTTTCATGAAGGCAAGGGGAAAAAATTACAAAATCAAAGCCATTTGTTCTTCATGCACTGAATTCAAGATCATCAAGATAGTCGTCTTCAATTAAAGATGATTTTTTAACTTTCTAAAAATGGATAGGAGAAATTAAGTTTCGGGTCTAACCTGAGTTGGTGACAGCCATTTGCCACTAAGTGTGAATGAAGGTGGGGAGGAGGATGGATAATCTGGTGGCAGTTCAAAGTTCAGCACAAGTGGAGGCAGAAAGCAAATGGTGTATTCAAAGCCACTATTCTGGAGACACTCATTTGAATTGCCTGAACCAAAAACAAAAATTAGAAAGAATCAGTCGGTCAACACTTGAGTGTCTATTACTATTGAGCAGGTGCTCAAGAAAGACTAACGCTTTAGCTGAGGGGATAAAAACCCTCCCCCAAAGCACCTTCTATTTCCTAATTATAACTTCATAGCCACCACCTTTAAAAAAAAGAAAAAAAAATCTTATAAACCCTTGAAAAATCTACTAAGCACCATGACATTTCTAAGGAAGACACATAACTTACTCTTGTACATACTTGTGAGTACAATTCCTAACACTAATAAGTAATACACAATGTTTTCTTTTGTTGTTGTTTTACAGTAGATGAAATAAGACACTATCTAGAGAAAAGGATTTTTATTTCTATCCAAGAGCTATGACCTACTTAGACCAGCATGTGCCAACTTCCCATGAATCATAGTTGGGAGAATTTGTGCCAACACAACGATCTCAGGCTCGAGGGCAAGATACAGCACACAACACTCTCACAAAGTTTCATTTTAGATTATTACACTTACTTTCTTTACTCAATGCCTTTATAGTAGAAACATTTTGAGAAAGTGTGCATCAAAGTCTTCCGTGAACGTCTGTATCAAAAGCAGCAATTTTTTATTTTTGTGTGTGTTTTTTTTCTGAAGCAAAAGGTCACAGAGTAACAGCACGTCACAGGCTTATGGTAGTTGAAATGATTCTGGAAACCAAATAGTACTGACAACCACCACGGTACTTTAAAACTTTCCAAGCGTTTTCATGTACATGATGTCATTTTCTCTTTTATTATTCCTGTTTAACAACTAATGACTCATAGCTGATAAACTGCTAGTTAGAAGATTAGGATGCATGAAATATACAGGATAATATCCCAATTCAGCGGTCAAAAGGCAAATCAAATTGAAAACTATGCACCCTCAGTCCAATTTTCAATTAAAACAGGAACATGCATTAAATCTGTAATACTACCATCTATCACCAATGCCTATAAACACAAGATGGTAAATAATTTAGGGTACAAATCGAGAATAACTTTTATTTAGAAAAATCTGCTTAAGAGAGTATTATTAACTAACCGCTCACGAATATCTTGAAATTCTGCGGCAAGTCCAAATAGATCCTGGTTTCTCCACCTTGGACAGACTCTGCTTTCCTAAATTCATCTCCATCGTAAATACTCGCCAGGGCCAGCAACTCATCCTCCTGAGCTTCTCGGTCTTCTGACGACATTTAATTTTCTGGAGCTGAAGTTAAGTTAATCCAAATCAGTTAAGAATAGAAAAGGCAGAGAGTTTGGAAAAATCTAGGGGCAATCCCCACCCTCACCCCCCAAAAAACGTTAAAGTTCCACCCAAAAAACTGCAAAGAATTAGCCAATATTATCAATCTTCTGCTCAACTAAAAATGATAGACATATCTAATACTCCAGTACCTTTGCAATAGTAAGAGCTTTTTCAAAAATGATGATTGTGGTGCTTCTAAGTGCTGACTGTAACAGATATCAGAAATTTAGGGAAAAAAGGCATGATCTAAAAATTTTTTTTAAATTTTCAAATTATTCTGACTTATCCACCAATCCTAGCAAATTGCCTTGCTCACAAAATTAGTCAAAGTAGGGACCCCTGGGGGGCTTAGTCGGCTGAGTGTCTGACTCTTGATTTAGGCTCAAGTCATGATCCCAGGGTCATGGAATCAAGCCCTGTACTGAGCATGGAGCTTGTTTTTGAGATTCTCTCTCCCCCTCGGCCCCTCCTCTGCTCACACTTTAAAAAAAAAAAAAAAAAAAAGTCAAAGTATATGCAATATACTTACTAAAAACAAATGAATTATTTATTATTTTTTTTAAGTTTTATTTATTTAAGTAATCTCTACACCCAACGTGGGGCTTGAAGTCACAACTCCAAGATCAAGAACCATAAATTCCTCCAACCAAGCCATTCAGGCATCCCTGAATGAATTTTCTAAATCCCTAAAAGTCTCTAAGGCAGGTTTTCTTCAACCTCGGTACTACTAACCTTTTGGAACAAACAATTCTTTGTAGTAGGAGGCTATCCTGAGCCTTACAGGATATGTACCAGCATCCCTGGCTTCAATCTACTAAATTTTTCTTTAATGTTTATTTATTATTGAGAGACAGAGAGCATGAGCATGGGAGGGGCAGAGAGAGGGGGAGATACAGAATGTGAAACAGAGACTCCAGGCTCTGAGCTATCAGCAGAACCCAACACAGGGCTCAAACCCACAAACCACGAGATCATGACCTGAGCTGAAGTCAGACAGCTAACCAACTGAGCGACCCAGGCGCCCCCCGGCTTCAACCTACAAGATGCCAACATAGTCAAATGTACTTCCCCCTCAACATAGTCAAATGTGCCCCCCAGGGGTGCAGTGGGGGATAGCTCCCAGTTCAGAACACCCTGTTCTAGAGAATGTTACAGGGACAGACACTATATAAGAGGGTTAGATAACTGAGGAAGCAGCAAAATAACATCAAATTTTTCTATTTTTTAATGTTTTTTTATTTTGAGAGACAGAGAGCACACACGTGCCCAAGTTGGGGAGGGGCAGAGAGAGAGAGGGAGAGACAGAATCCCAAGCAGGTTCCACACTGTCAGTGCAGAGCCCAACAGGGAGCTCAATCTCACTCACCAGGAGATGATGACCTGAGCTGTTATCAAGAGTCAGATGCTCAGGTGCCCCTAACATTAAATTTTTTTTTTTTAATTTTTTTTTCAACGTTTATTTATTTTTGGGACAGAGAGAGACAGAGCATGAACGGGGGAGGGGCAGAGAGAGAGGGAGACACCGAATCGGAAACAGGCTCCAGGCTCTGAGCCATCAGCCCAGAGCCTGACGCGGGGCTCGAACTCACAGACCGCGAGATCGTGACCTGGCTGAAGTCGGACGCTTAACCGACTGCGCCACCCAGGCGCCCCTAAACTTTTAAAATACCACCAGACTTATTAAGAATAATTTTAAGGTCTACCATTATTTCAGGTGAAACTAAGAATGAAAATATGCTACAATTAAAATGTAAAATCGATAGTTTTTAATCGCAGCAACTGAAAGATGCACCACAATTTCAGGTAATTTAAATGTGGAAAAATATGTAAGGAGAATCTGTGAAAATTACTTTATTAAAACAAAAAATTACCTTTCTGTCAATTAAAATACTGGACTATAACTGGATTTGCAAATGCCCCCTCTTGACTAACATTTTTTAATTTAAGCATACACAATTGAAAAGTTAGGACATTATAAAACGTGACACTTCAAAATTTGAACAAATTCATTTAAAATGATTCCATTTAAAAAAAAATTGTTGAGACACCTGGGTGGCTCAGTCGGTTAAGCGTTCGACTTCCGCTCAGGTCATGATCTCATGGTCCGTGAGTTTGAGCCCCGCATCGGGCTCTGGGCTGACAGCTCAGAGCCTGGAGCCTGTTTCAGATTCTGTGTCTCCCTCTCTCTCTGACCCTCCCCTGTTCATACTCTGTCTCTCTCTGTCTCAAAAATAAAATAAACATTAAAAAATTTTAAAAATAAATAAATAATAAAAAAATTGTTTTGTTTTTTTTCCCAGCAGATCATCATGGTTCTGCTTAAGCTACATTCCCATCCCAAACAGAACACACTAACATATTCTAGTTGAGATGAGTTAGTACCTGTTATTAACAATCAGAAGAAAAGGCTATTAGCAATGCAGTCTGTCTTTCAATTCAGAATGTGGAATTCATGCAAATCCCATTTATTCTCCAGGAGGTGGAGATAAGAGTGTCGAAGCTGGATAAAATGCCAAGATCTGGAACTCATGCTAGATACACTATAGAAATCCTGCCATCTGCAGAAAAAAAACAAAAACAAAAAAACCCCAGAAGATGGTGTCAGGACCCTCTCCAAATTTTAATTCCAAAGTTCCATTATTACCAGTTAGGTCAAACACATCCTAACATATAGTCAATCTTAATCTACAGCTGCCTATTACTTTCTTTAAGACAGCCTAACAGAGCCATGTGGTTAAAGGAGTGGTTTGCAAGGCCCCAGCAGTGTGAGAAGCCTTATCTGACTGCCCTCAGCCCTGGGAGGAGTCAAGGTGGAATACCAACATCCTATGAGAGTTGAGCACACCACGTCTCATAATAAACATCTAAGCATCTTCTTGGATTTGTTTTGTTTTTGTTTCTCCCTTCCTCTTTGGCTTCTTCTATTCTTTCATTTTCTATCCCCCTCCAGTTCTTCCTCTTACCTGCTATGAAATTAATCCTGCTAGGGACACTCAACATTAGGTCAATTTAAGTGTGACAGCAAGATATTTAAAAACAGAACAAAAGCGTGCAAAGGTACACATATACACACACTTTCAAGTTCTACTTTGAAAATTTTAGAGCCAGACTTCTCAACTGGGAGTAAATGGAAGTGGAGGGTGGTCGATAAATGGGTTATGGAGAATCCTAAGAACACTCTGAAGTTTTACGTAAAAATCCTATAAGAAACGGTAATTTTGAAACCAAATTCTCAGATATGTGACTCCCAAATAAACTAAGAATGAAAGTCACAATCAATTTACATTCATTGAGTGCCTATTATATATTGTATTAGGTCGTTGCACATTACCTTATTTAATGCTAAACAATTAAGTTTCTGTTTCTTCCAGTGTAAATATTTGTAAATGGGGTGAGAGATGATTTTATAATGATTCAGGTTTTAGGTTACTCTTCCCCATCTTGTCTGCACATGGGAATCACCTGGGGAGCTGCTTTTTATAATCTCAATACCCAGGCCATTAAATCAAGCATCAGTAGTTGCCCAAGCTCTCCAGGTGATTCTAATGTGCAGCTAGGATTAAGAAGCTCTACTTCAGGGGCGCCTGGGTGGCGCAGTCGGTTAAGTGTCCGACTTCGGCCAGGTCACGATCTCGCGGTCCCGGAGTTCGAGCCCCGCGTCAGGCTCTGGGCTGATGGCTCAGAGCCTGGAGCCTGTTTCCGTTTCGGTGTCTCCCTCTCTCTCTGCCCCTCCCCCGTTCATGCTCTGTCTCTCTCTGTCCCAAAAATAAATAAACGTTGAAAAAAAAATTAAAAAAAAAAGAAGCTCTACTTCAACCAGAGTTTCCCATCCACAGCTCCTCAAAACCTACCGCACAAACCCCAGCTTCTGAAGCTGCCACCAGGTCCCAGTGCCTTAATTCACATGACAGACCTACATTTCATTTTCATTCTATCCACTCAGCTTTCAAGACTCATCTCCAAAGACCCTATTCTATGTAGAAATTTTCAATTAGATGTCCTGTCTTTCTTTAAAAATCCAGCAAACTTTTTTTTTACGGTAACTTTTCTATGACATTATCACATCCCACTTTGCATTACAATAGTTTATGAACTTACACTTTCAGGCCACATTAGCTCCTTAAGGGCAAGTTTCAAGTCTTTTGCATCAGTGTGTTGCTCTCAGCATCTAGCAGTGCCTTGCGTTTGACAATGGAGACAAATATGTAACTGGTGTAAGATGCAGCGTGCTGAAAAGGGGGACCAAAATTCTAAGCTTCAATGACTGCTTTGCTACAGCCCACTAGAAGCAGGAGTCACAATAACACCGAGAAAAGTAACACTGAGTTCTTACCGTGTGTCAGGCATTGTGCTAAGCACTTTAAATGCATTAACTCCTGGCAGATTCCCACAGCCCCACGCAGCAAGTCCTCTATTTGTATTACACGGATGAGAAAAATGACAGTTTAAGTCCGTTTCCGGCCCAAGGTCACACAGCTAATATGTAACTAAACCTGGGTTCAGACCACTGTTTCTTCATCTGTAACCCAGGAACGAGACGAACCCCCGCGCCATCCGACAGATATTAAGTTTACTATTAGTCTCGGCAAACGGAAACTGCTACACTAACGAGGGAAGCCCTCCTCCGCCGGGTTTCCCTTCGGCCTGCGAAAATCCTACTCATTCTCCCAGGCCACACCGTGCAAAGTGTCGAGCTGGGGTCAGCCCTGGCTCCGGAATCAGCACGCCGCCGAGGGTGTCCCCAGCGCTCACCATCCGGGGTGCTGAGTCGTTGTTGGTACGACTCACCTACAACCCGGGGGCAGGCCCCAGCCTCGCTACCTGCCCCGGCGCTCGGACACAGAGGACGCTGCAAGAACGTGAGGTGTGAGCGAGACCCAGGTGTCCCTAACCAACAGGGCCTGGGCCTTCCCCTTCCTCCTCTGAGCGCCCCGGGTGGGAAGAGGGTTGGGATCTTAGCCGGACCGGGGTGGGGACGCCCTGTCCCAGGTCTGGGAGGCTCAGGCCCACTGAGCAGTTCCGGCCCGGCCGCTCTTCTCTGCCTCGCGCGCCCGGAGCTCGGTCCACACCGTCGCTTCCGGCCACCCCGCCGCGCCGGGCCCAAAAGTTCCGCCCTCCGCCCTAGCCCTGGTCCGCTCACCGCCACCGCCGCCCCGGCCTGGAGACGCCCGGCTCAACCGGCGCTCGGCACCGCCTCTTCCGTGTTTGGAGCTGTCAGCTGAGCCGCGCGGATCCGGCTGGCGGCCCGGCGAGGGGAGGGCTTGCGCAGCCGCCGTGACCGCCCGGTCCCTCGGCCGCCCCCTGAAGGCCAAAGGCGGCGGTGCTTGGGCGATCGCCGTCACCACTCTCCCCGCCTCGCCTGGTAAATTTAAGTTTGCCTCTGGAGAAGTGGGTAGAAATGCAGATTCTGTGACCAGGAGGTTCCTTTCCGTAGTTCTGGGATGGGCCCTGGAATTCGAAATTTTGCCAATCCCTAGAGGTGAAAGGGAGACAGTTCTTTATCCAAGACAGACACTCTTGTAACAATCTCAGACGTGCTCCTCCAGGTAGAGTAAGCAAGGTTCCCCCATCCAAACTTCTCAGAAATGCTGCCCATCTTTGGGGCACCTCCTCCATGAAATCATTCACTCACTGTTCATATTACAACACTAATAACTACCATGTTTATTGAGCAGTCAGGATGCTTCTCTTCACCATAACCTTATGGTTTTAGATACTATTTGTTATTCCTACTTTATTAATGAGGAAATTGAAAGTAGAGAGGTTCAGGAACTTACCAAAGGTCACATGATTTCTTAATAGAAACTGAGTGGGAATTATAATCACATGCCCTCTACCTCATACCATATGCATAAGTAACTCAAAATGGGTCAAAGACCTAAATGTAACGCTAAAACTATAAAACTCTTAAAAGAAAATGTAGGAGTAAATCTCCTAAACTTGGATTAGGCAATAGTTCCTTAGATGTGACACCAAAAAAAAACACAAGAAAAAATAGATAAATTGGAATCAACACAACTAAAACCTTTTGTGCTTCAAGTACACTATCAACAAAGTGAAAAGACAATCTACAGAACAGGAGTAAATATTTGCAAGTCGTTGATCTAATATTCTGTATATATAAAGAACTTCTGTAACTCAACAATACAAAAAGCAAATAACCCAATTTTTAAAAAAATTTTTTAAATGTTTATTTATTTTTGAGACCGAGCATGAATGGGGGAGGGTCAGAGAGAGGGAGACACAGAATCTGAAGCAGGCTCCAGGCTCCGAGCTGTCAGCACAGAGCCCGACGCGGGGCTCGAGCTCATAGACTGTGAGATCATGACCTGAGGTGAAGTCGGATGCTTAACTGACTGAGCCACCCAGGCGCCCTGCAAATAACCCAATTTTAAACGTTTTCAAGGTTACCCATGTTGTAGCATGGGCAAAGGATCTGAATAGACATCTCTCCAAAGAAGATATACAAATGGTCAGGAAGCACATCAAAAGATACTCAACATCATTAGTCATCAAGGAAATGCAAATCAAGACCGCAATGAGAAACTACTTCACACTCACTAGGATGGCTATAAAAAAAGACAGATAATAACAAGTATTAGTGAGGCTGTGGAGAAATAGGAACCCTCATACACTGCTGGAAGTGCAAAATGGTGTAGCTACTCTGAAAAACAGTTTGATGGTTCCTCAAAAAGTTAAACATTAAAAAAAAAAAAAGTGAAACATAGGGTTACAATAAAACCCAGCAATTCTACTCCTAGGTGTATACCCAAGAGAATTAAAAACATACATTCACACAAAAACGTGCACAAATATGCAACTATGTTTGTACCTATTTCTTTGGGTATAGTGTACATAAATGTTCACTATAGCAGCAATATTCACAATAGTCAAAAGGTAGAAACAACTCAAATGTCTGTCCTTGGATAAGTGGATAAACAAAATGTGGTATATCCATATGATGAAATATTATCCTGCCATAAAAAGGAATGAAGTACTGATCAATACTACAACATTGATGAACTTTAAAACCATTGTGCTGAGTGAAAGAAGTCAGACATAAAAGGCCACAAATTGTATAGTTCCAGTTATATGAAATGTCCAGAGATGGCAAATCCACAGGGACAGAAAGCAGATTTGTGGCTGCAGGGGGCTGAGGCAGGAGTGCGTGGGAAGTGACTGTTAATGGATATGGGGTTAGTTTCGAGGGATGAAAATACTGCGGAATTAGATAGTGAAGAAGACTGCACAATTCTGTGAATATACTAAAAACCACTGGACTGCACACTTTTAAAGGGTGAATTTTATGAAATGTGAATTATATCTCGATAAGAAAGTTTTAGGTACAAAACACTAAAGTTCTCAGCACTTAAGTGGGATGCTAAAATGTTGGCTCCAGTTCTTGGGAACCATCAAACTAATGTGCCCTAATGACCTAATAAGTTCCTGTGTCCTCTTTATCATATACTTCTCCCCCGAGAAAAGCAACTTGCAAGGGTAGTCCTCTAATGCAAACCTACAGGATTCTAAAAGTCTTTACCGCCACTGTCTTCCAGGCAGGATTGGCTTCAGGGGCCAGCCACCTGTGTACAAGCCACAGGGCCTTGTTTTCAGGAAGGCCTCAGGCTCACAAGGGTCCTGCTCTTGGTCTAATGCTCTCCTATGGCCATCTTGAAATTCTTAATTTTTTAATAAGAAGCTGTCCATTTTCATTTTGCATTTGGCTCCACAAATTATGCAGCTGGTCCTGCACCCAGAAGAGAAGAAAAACCAAGTGAGTAAATCAAGGCGTTGGAGGGGTTTCCCTGACTGCCTCCAAAGGGAAACTTTTGAATTGCAAATAACCACTCCTAATTTTCCATATTGTCACAGACCAGAAACCTAACCAACCCCTGTGATAGATACCCACACCAGAAACATATTCCTTAAAGATGCAAAGACAGAAGAAGAGTCTCTATAGTCACTCACTAATATCATTATTCATGTTTAGCCAAAGGAAATAAAACCAAAAGCAAAACATATGATAACCCTACCTCACTTTCTCACAGGTGAGACCATGAATCCTGTCAGAGACCTACCAGATGCAAAAAGTAAGGGAGACTAAGAACCAGTTCGGGAAATTCTCACAAATCTGAGCAGGAGGTGAATTGTGACATCATGTCATGACCTCATGTCAGAAGTCACAGGATGGAGGGAATAGAAGAGAGAATTTCAAAGCAGTGTTAATAATTCGGACTCAATGCTTAGCATCCAGAGACAGTGTTGTAATAAAATTTGGTTTTGGACTCCATAAAAATAACAGACTTTCGTATCTTTGGTTTCCTGTCCTTTATCATTTTTCAAATGAGCTTTCCCCGGGGGTGCCTGGGTGGCTCAGTTGTTTGAGTGTCTGACTTTTGATTTTGGCTTAGTTCATGATTCCAGGGTTGTGGGATCGAGCCCCATGTTGGGCTCCACACTGAGCATACAACCTGCTTAAGATTCTCTCTCTCTCTCCCTCTGCCCCTCTCCCCGACTCGTGCGCTCTCTCGCTCTCTAAAATAAAATATAAATAAGTGAATAAATAAATAAATAAATAAATAATTGAGCTTTTTTGCATGTGCCCAGCCCTATACTGTGCTAAGCACTTTACGTGCATTATCTCATTTAAATACCCAGGACTCCATAACTGAGGCAATCTTGTCTCCCCATTTTACAGATGAGGAAGTTGGGGCACTAATGGGTGAAGTGATTTCACCAATGTCAAACAGTGGTGACATTCAAGATTAGAACCAGTCCCTCACCAATCTGACACTCTGCTGTAGCCTATAAAAGAATTAGGTTTGTTGTAGCAGAAATACAAAGAGAACAAAATAGTTCTCGCCATAAGAATTAAAAGGGAAAACCCTAAGGAAATCAGGATTAGATTTTATGACATGATGATAGGTGAGAATGAGAATACAGAGGGAAAGAAAGAGACTCCCCTCCATCACTGTCCCCAAGCCTAGTAGATGATGGAGCCATCCTCAATTATCATCCCTATTTTAAAGCTAAGGAAACTGATAACAGAGAAGTTAAGTGACTTTTCACTGTCACACACATGGTATATTATGGAACCAAACTTTGAATCCAGGCGACTGGAGCCCTGAGCCCACATCATTAACCCCAATGCTATGCTTAGATCAAGTTAACACTTCACTCAAGGGAAATGGTCAGCTGGGTGTGTAAGGAGAAACAGCCAGATCACCTGTGAGACCAGCTTCTTAGGCTGGGGCAGCTCATACAATACCTCAGGTCATCCCAGGGTTATATAAAAATAGACTCCTAAAAAGGCTTGAGGTGGCTGACAGCAGAAAATGTTTTCTGTGCTTCTGATGCAAGGTAAAATTTGATTTACAATAATAGGCACAGAATGATCATGTTTATACTTGCAACCTGGCATTTTATTATTATTCCCCTGAATAACTGTGAAAAGGGTTTTGTAACCCCAAGGTAACATGGCTCTGTAAGAAGGAAAGGGGGTGAGATTTAGCAGCAGCTGCCATCATAAATCAGTGTGTGGCTGTTTCTCTCAGAGCTCCAGGCTCAACTCCTGGCTGTCATAAGCTTATAAAGGGAAGCCCCGTGAGAATTTATGTAACGATAGGAAGACTCATTTTCCTTCCTGCAAGAACCTTTCTGAGGCAAGGCAAGAATTAGGTTGATTAGATTCTGTGTGAAGAAAGAAAACCAAACCAATGGTTCAGAGGAAGGGAAAATGTGGGTCAACTTGAGCTACTTTCCTTGCCAAAAAA